TCAAGAAAAAACAAGATACCCAAATCATTCTATAATTATTAAAGTTTGAATTAAGAGTTAAAAGTCTTCTCATAAAGAAAAATATCTCCAGGTCCAGAGGTTTTATCAGTGGGTTCTGCCAAATATTCAAGGGAACAAATAATTCTAATCTTAAATAAATATTCCAAAATGTTAAAAGAAAGAGAAGCCTCTATCTGCTGCCTGAAGTTAGCATAATCATGATACCAAAGAATGACAAAATCCTATGAGAAGGTGCAAAAATCTTAAAGCATTAGCAAGTGATATCCAGCAATGTATATAAATGATAATGCATTTTGACCAAAGTGGGTTAATTTCAGGAATTCAAGGTTGGCTTAACATAAGGAAAAATATTTTCATGTAATTCACAACATTAACATAAAAAGGTCCTTAATAGCTAAGAAAACCTTTTGTCCTCCTGTTATTAATATTTCTTCTCCAGCTGTCAGATGAACATACAGCTGTAGCTTCAGCAGCCACCTGGAACCATGAGGTGACTTTAAGGACTGCAAAGCAGAAAGATAAGAGCCTGAATCTTTGATGACACCAAAGGGCTGCCATAACAGCATTGGACTACTGACCTCCTGACTTCTATGTGAAAGACAAGCAGTATCTTGTCTAAGCCACTGTCATGCTTTTTAAAAATTAAATTAGCAGAACCAAATCCTAATTGACTCTGACACGTGGAGTAGATTAATGAAAGTGAGGGGGCATCAGGAAGAGCTTCATGGAGCACATGATATCTGAGTTGGAACTTCATGAATGAGCACAGTCTTAACAGATAGCAAGGATTAGAAAGGAGGAAGCCGCTCTAGAAAAGCAGTGTGGAAAAGTGCAGGGCAGGAAAAAGCAGCTTTTTTAAGAAAATAACAAGGTGAGTGTAACATGTATATTTCTTGAATATAGTTTCGAACTTAGCCATGGTCTAGGCTGAATTGAACTGGAGAGGAGGGTCACTTTGCAGCTCCGTTACATGCAAACCAGCACCTCTGGGAGAAAGCAGTGACCTTTTGCGGGAGCTGTGTGAGTAAACAGATATTAGCCAGGCAGGATGCAACTCAACGAGGGGCAGTGAGTCCTTGACTTGCAGGAAGGTGATTTGAGCTTAAGCTGTTGCCTCATAGCTGAGAATGTGCTTCAGACAAAAGTGACCAGATCAGTCCTTTTCACTGGTGGCTCTGCACAGGTGATCCTAAGCCCTTTGCACTAGTGAAGTCCTTTTCACTGGTGGCTCTGCACAGGCGATCCTAAGCCCTTTGCACTAGTGGAGTGAGTTCCCCAAGAATGAAGTTCCTGAGAAAGAAAGATTCTATAGATTAATGGAAAAAAAGAGTTGTTCATCTGTGTATCTGGTGATTTGGGTGCCAAACATTTTTCCTCAAGAATCAGGAACCTTTACAGGAAGTCAGGCCCTGAGGTACTCAATTGTACGATGGACATACATTGCAATTTTTCTGAGGCAGCCAGTCATAGCATCATTATTAATAGTGTCCCCTTTCACTTTCAAAAGTATACAGCTTTGGATAATAAATTTTATGGTCACCTTACTTACTTGCGTAAGGACTTTACAAAGGAATTCTTATATCTTTGCTAATGCTTTCTCTCATTTGGAGAGTAAACCAATCATCACTACTCTCTCTTGCCCCTAAATAAATTTGAGGATCAAAGGAAAATTTTGAGAGGATATATTATTTGATTATAGTGTTTCAGACAGTTAGGATGGATAGGAAAATGCATATATAACATAATATGACCGGCATTGATTTGCAAAGAATAGTGTCAAAGTTGTGATAATAGGAAGAATATGAATTTCTCATATGAGACTAGGTTGAGTGATTTTTCGAAGAAAAAGTGAAACCTAAAACAGGAAAATATGATTGCCTTTGGTAATTCAAGAGAAAATTAGCCACAGGCCTCACTTGTGGAGAGAGACTGAATTATAATGGCCCCTGTTCCTTCTTCTTCCCCCACCAAAATAACCAGAGAAGGGAGCCCCAGTCCCTCCATCAGTGACAGCAGGAACCTAGGAGGTGGAGACCTCTCCTCAGACTCTCTCACCAACATTGGCTAAAGTTTGAGGTGCCTGCGTTTTCAAGACACAGACTGAATAGGAATTATAATGGCATTTTTCAGATGGGGATATTGCAACTCAAAAGATGACTTGCTCCAATTATAGAGTTTACAAATGGCAGAACTGGGAGCTTGAGTTTAGGACATTCCTCCATGAAGAAATAGAATCATTATAGGGACTCCAAGTTCCCTAGAAAAAAACCTGTGGCCTGAGAAATGGCAGAAAGAACTGAGATTTTTAGCCTGAAGATAAAGGAGAAACCCGAGCCACAGGATATGATCTCCGTCATCAAATCCCTGATGGTCTGCCAGATGGGAAAGAAGTTAGACCTGTGGGGAGTGGACCCAGAGAACAAAGCAAGGACCAGTGAAGGGAAGCTAAAAGGAAACAGACGCCAATTCAACATACAGGAAAGGAAACTCACATTTCCTGAATATCTATCCATGCCAGGCATTTCACATATATATTCCTGTTTAATTCTCAGACAGAGGGGAAAAAAAAACTGTGAAGTAGATATTATCCTCATTTTAAAAATGAGAAACCAGGAGATTTCCAACCTAGGATAATGACGGAGTAGCTTGTATTACACTAACTCTCCTACTGATAACATTTATCAACTCTGTACAAAATAGAAAACAAATGGTTTGAAATTCCTGGGAAATTATACAAATCAGACAGAAACTAGTGGGGATTTGTCCCCCTAAAAGAGGAGAACCACACTGAGTGAGATCTAATTTATCCAGCTTTCATCCTAGGGCAGTCTCTGGTCTCTGTGGTATGGCGGGGCATTTCAGATAGAGCTGAAGCAAAAAGCTGCAGTAGTATTGGGGAGCCAGATGATGCATATTGGGTCATCCAGAGCAGTTAGACACTGAAGGGGGAAATCCCATAAAGAATTAAGCCATAGAGGGGAGCCCCCAAATCTGCATATAGATTCCACCCAAATCCATGACTGACACCTAAACCCTGAATGTGTGGACTGAGACTACAAGAACACTATGGGAAAAACAGGAGCTGGAATCCTAAGGAAAAACAAACAAACTGAAAAAACAAAACAACCCACAACTGAGCAGAGGATTCAGTAGCTGCCCACAATGGAGGCAGAGTTTAAAGCTTAAATACCAACAAATGAGAGAGCCTTAATAAGTCCCTCACGCTTTGCACTGAAATTTCAGAAGGGCCACACCCTAGGATTAAGTACCATATGCCAAAATTAAGATATTTACCCTATGACTAAGGGAAAAAATCAAAATAGACTTTCCCTAACAAAGCTTAAAATCAACTCCATAAAAGATCAAGTGGATTTGATGGTAAGTTACCTGCCTACTAGAGCAAAATTCAAAATCTTCAAAGCAAGATAACAGAATGCAGAATTATCTATGTATAATGAAAAATTTAATTTCTAGATGTATGAACAGACAGAAAAATGTAGTCCAGTGGGGGGGAAAAATCAGTTGATAAAAACAAAGTGACAAACAAACCTGTGATACTGAAATTAGCAGAAGGGAACTACTATGGTCTGAATGTTCTTGTTCTCCCAAAATTCACAGGTTAATGCCTAATTATTGATGGGATGGTATTAGGAGATGGGCCTTTGGGGGCAGAATAGATCATGAGGGTAGAACCCTCATAAATAGGATTAGTACCCTTATAAAAGACACTCCACAGCACTAGTTAGCTTCTCTACCATGTATGAACATAGCAAGAAGGCACTGTTTATAAGAAAGCAGGTCCCTCACCAGACATTAAATCTGCTGATGCCTTGATCTTGGATTTCCCAGCCTCCATAACTGTGAGGAATAAATTTTTGTTTTCTACAAACCACCTAATTCAAGGTATTTTTCTGAGAGCAGTCCAAATGAACTAAGTCAAAAATTTAAAAATAACTATGATAAATGTAATAAAAAATCTATAGGAAAAGATGTATTCATTTTTATGTGTGAAGAGATGAGGAATTTGAGAAGAAATATGAATACTATAAAAAGAACTAAAAGGAAATTTTAGAAACTGAAAAATACAGTATTTGAAAGATAAAAAAATTAGAAAATATTACGGTAGATTGAATAAAGAAGACAGGATCAGTGCACTGGATTATAGATCAATAGAAATCATCCAAGTAGAAGCATGGAAGGAGAGAAGGTTGGAAAACAATTAACAGACCTTCAACAACTTGTGGGACAGTGTCAAGTGACTGAGAAAATGAGCAACTGGAGTTCCAGAAAAAGAGGAGCAAAATAACTACATCGCAGAAAAGATATTTGAAAAAACATTGGTCAAATATTTTCCAAATTTAATCAAAAAGAAGAAACCCACAGATTCAGAAAACAAAGCACACCTCAAACAAGATAAATACCAAGAAAATAACATACAACACATCAAAGTTAAACTCCTAAAAACACAAACAGAAAATACAAAAAGCACCCAGATGTAGCTGATTTCTCATTAGAAACAATTGAGGCCAAAAGACATACTTACAATGCTAAAACAAAAAAGAAGGCCGGGCGCGGTGGCTCAAGCCTGTAATCCTAGCACTTTGAGAGGCCGAGGCGGGTGGATCACGAGGTCAGGAGATCGAGACCATCCTGGTCAACACGGTGAAACCCCATCTCTACTAAAAATACAAAAAATTAGC